GAGTTGGCTTATCTTCTAAAAATGAAAGAATAATGACATTCTCATGTCACTACATAGCCCTTCTCCTCGTTGGACCCCCATTCCCTTCAACCTTTTATTTTGTTGTCACTCAAGTTCAATTTTCAATGAAGTCTCATGTCAAATTCCACAATCAACAGGCCTTGTCTCCATAACCTTTTAAACAACAATCCATCTATCCTCCGAATCATAACCCCCAAGGAGAAAAAAAAGCAATTTCAGAAAACTGGGTAACTGTTGATTCAATTTTATGATGACTTCGATGTGTAGAATCCACCAAATGGGAATCCTTCTCGAATCATCAAAACTTACAACAAATTTTATGTGTAGTGCTGCCTAGCCATATGAGGCTATTCATCATGCATAGGCTCCTCAAGAAAGCCGATTCAATCGAGCAAGGAAACAGTTCAAAATTCAGCCACTTGAGCATTATAAATATAATACAATAGTAACAAATCCACCCATCCCAATACTCTTCAGTTAATCGGAAAAAACTCAGATAATGGCCTTATGACTATAGACAAATTAATTGTAACAAATTATGATTTACTTTGATATTAAACTGTGTCAGTTACAATCACTGCAAATATAATTAATCTATTTGATCAATATTTGCCAGTGTAATGTCTAATTTAATAGGTCATGCATCTCATCAATATTTCAAAATGACATTTCAAAACACATATATAATCCAAAATAAGTGAACCAAAGAGTGCATATCAAATCCTTTACTACTACTACTACTACTTAAAATCGATTCATCCAATAAATCAATAAAACAAAGTAAATAAGAAACCATAAAGGAATAATAATGAGAGCTTACAGGAATACCCAAAGACCATGATTTGGCAGCAGCAATAACAGCACTGGACTGACCATTCATTCCTCGGCCATCCTCCCCGTAACCACCGAGGAAGTAAGCACTCAGAAACCATCCTGCAAATTGCCAAAAACCACCCCAAAATCGATATTCTCAATCCATTGATCTCTAATTTATGCAAGAATAATGAAAGAAAAAGCAATAGTAGCCAGTAAGGAAAATAGACATACCAGCAATAAAAGGGTCAGCGGTGCGTAAGGTTTCGGTATCAAAAACAGAGAACCCATGACTGAACCTTCCGAAAGCAGAGAACAAAAGCAAAGCCAGTACATCCCCACCAGCAAGTAAAGCCACACGACTGAAACACAACCACCAAGACCACAAATTCTCATATACGTACAAATCCAAATATGCACACACAGCTAGAAGGAGAGATTGAGTGAGAGGAAATTGATAGATACACATTACCCCCATTTGTTGAGAAGGTTAGAGGAATTGGGTTTTTCGAACTGAATAACACCTTCGAGAGGGACGCTCTCTTCACCAACAACAGATACCGCATCATCGGCGTTATTAGAAGTTATGGGGTTATATCTGGTAGGAGCAGTAGGACCACCACTGGCTTTGGCATTAGCGACGGTGAGAGGCTTGGGGCAACGCCTCTTTGTCGTGCGAGAGGTGTTTGTGGATTGGAATTTGGGAGGTCTGCGGTTGGACAATAGGGGTTGTGGGTTTTGGTGGATGAATTGAAGGGCAGAGTTAAGGGCACATCTCTCTATAGATAAAGCTCCGCCAGGAAGAGGAAGAGGAGGAGCTTGCCTCACCATAAACATTGTTCACCAGCTTACTCACAGTTGGTGGGTAGCCCAATTTCTCTCGAGGCTTCCGAAGAACTGACACACAAAGTAGGCGGGTTATTGGAAGAGTAATCACTGCACCATAGAAGGAACAGGGAAAGGGGAAGAGTTGGTAATCGGTTTTATGGTGTAGATCAGTTTGCTTTCGATCACGTCGCCCCCAACAGCTGTTGTGGGACCCTATTGAATTTTCGAAATAGAATTTGAAGCAGAGAGTACAGTGGGCTTGTTGATGCTCTTTGGGCTGGGCTTCGGGACAGGTGGTCAAAGCCATTTAGGCATGTCCACGAATCAGTGATCCGAATTCGAATCCAATTATACAAAAAAATTTAAGATTTTTAAGAGAAAGTATATAAATAAGTTGTTTACTCTATTAAGTTTAATTTTAATAAAATATCTTGTGATTAACTTTAAAATTCAAATAAATTTTTATTTATTTTACTTACTTACTCTTTCTTAAATTCTATAAAATTGATAAATATATATGTATCTAATTAAATATATAAAGACTTTATTAGATATTACTATTCTTTTGAATTTTGAACTATGTTTTGTATTCAGTCTTCGCCTGCAACCGCTTCCTCCAACGATCAGATATCAACGTTTGGCTTTCTAGCAATTTCCTTCAACATCCAACTTGACGATTTCACTTCTCTGGTTTGTGTTATTTTCTTAATTTATTTTTGTTTACTTTCAAAGTCTATTTTCTTAATCAATTGAGGATTTCTCTAAAAGAGAAATTGAAAATTTTGATTACCATCACCTACTTGAAGTTAAATTTTTACACCAAATAGTTACACAATAAAGTTATCAAAGAATTATAACAAATATGTATCAAAAGAGTTATACCAAATAATTCAGATTTTACTATTTTCATTTCACAAAATATGAGTTTAAATATTATCAAATGAAAAATTGAACTAAAAAATAAAAGACAAAGAAACTTGTATTGTCAAGCAATGCAAATGTCGATTGTAACATCAAACAGTTATTCAAAATAGATATACAAATCAAACGTTTTGAATCTCATAGATTTACTCCACACTATTACAACAAACAAAAAATTAGTATAACTACTTAAAATTTGTGTTTTTTTTAAATTTTAAATTTTTAATATATATTCATTCAACATAAAAGAATTCAACTTTGTTATTTTCATTTGAAATTGTTAATGTTTTTTAATTTTAGTTTAGGTTCTTCTGAGCAAAAATTGCAAAAAAAAAAAAACAAAGAATTTGAAAACTAACTACTAAAAATCGGGGCTAAAACCTTGAAGTTGAACTTCAATGTCTAGAGAAGAGGATTCCAACAATAAGGAATAGTTACACCAAACCAAAATACCAAACAATTACAAAAATAGTATTTTTTATTCTTCATCCTTTCTTTAAAAAAAAACCCTTTTTGATCCTCAATAGGGCTTGAAATGATTATTTCCCAATATTATCTTCAGAATCTGTTCATAAATCCATTCGAATCTTAAAAATACCAAAGCCGAAGAGACCCTCAATTTAATGCTTCTTTTTTTTTTTTTTTGTCACTTGATTCCTTACTGAAGCCAAGATTGTCGTTTGACATCCAAATGGGGTTTAATATCTTTCCTTTTAACGAATAACCTTTTGGTTATTTTCTTAAAAAATACACTTTTACCCAAGTAACTTTCCTTATTTTACTTTATCTCAATTCAATCCAAATTTTTGTACCGACTTCTGTTTTAATTTTATAGTTCATATCTTAATCCATTAACAGTTCAAAATTCCGTGCAAAAATTCAATTTCAATATTATCAAAATAACTTAATTTTACTAAAATTAAATCAAATTTTTTCAAATAATTACTTAATTTTTTTAATATTTTTATAAAAATATGTACATATTTTAAATTGAATCATAATCAAATCAGATATAAATATATTACAATTATTCTCAAAAAGGCCTAACCATAGAGTTAAATATTGTTACCCTCCTGAGTGGTTATGGCTGCAGACCTACTTTCTACTTTTAACTTGGTAAACAGGAAAAAATATTTGATTCAAACCAGGGAATCGGTTTGTCTTAGTCTTCCCTTACAACGTAAGCCTGTCTTCAAACATCTCGTACACTTCGTACGTGTTGGGCTCAAATGTTATTTAAGGGCATTATCTCAACTATCAATTCAAAGACACTTAAAGAAATATCATTCACAATTATCAAGAAATAGTGTCGGATGATCAAGTCAACCTTGAATAGAACGAGCCTCATAGTCTAAATGAATAATAAGACGCGAAATCAGAAATATAAAATCCAATTCAATCCAATCCAACCCAATCAAACATTTAAACCATGGGTTCAATAGAGCATGCTTTTGATATCTTAATAATAGTGGCAAGGCTCAATAGTATCAAGGTGTTGCACGGCAAAATCTTCTAACCACTGTTGGGCAAGCTGCACTAACGACCTATTTATAAAGGAACCACCATAGCCATTTAGCCTGATCTGCATCCACAACCTGGTCTGATCGACTTTCCAACTATTCATAATCATCAAATTACATACAAAGTTGATAACTAGATATCAACTCAACAGTGGTGAAGAACAAAAAAATGTAGCAGCTCCACTTTGGTTTATGCCTCATGGTCGTCCCCTGTTCAAACATCGCCACAGAGCAATGTACCAAATTTTAAGGAACAAAAAACAAATTTGCAATGTCATTCCTTTAGGACCCATTTGGAATGCCATCCACACATATCATCTACTCATCCTGACAAAACAAGAAGTAGAACAAAAGGGGAAAAAAGGCACACAGGGTAATGCGCTATGAAATTAATCAACCCTGCACATACAAGTTTTATATTGGCAAGACACCCAACTTTCTTATGACAAACACATCATTTACATGTGAAGAGAGGACCGTGAATCTACCAACTTTATTAGATAACATATTTCTTGAGTTCCATAGTCCAATTCCCATATAAAAACTGAAAAGAGTATGCTCTATAACAGGCTTTCACTTTGCACAAATTAGAAACAGATTTCCACACCTGAATTAGCGGCCATTCTAGTGTTTAGTGTACACCATTGATGTAGTTAGGCACAGCCAAACTTCAAATCCATTTTATGGCAAAACAACATGTCATGTAATACTCGATGCCACATATGGATGCAAATAATGAATGAACTAGTTGAACTTTGGAGCATGTCAAGCGTTTCCTTGGCCAAATCTCACAAGAGCTCCAAAGGAACCATGACAGTGACCAACCCATAGACAACTTGTGAGGGTGCCTGTTTATATCCCAATACTGGAGGGCTGGGAGGGTTAGATTTGATATAAACCTATTCTTTGATATTATATGCACAAGATGGCTGCCATCAAAGTTTGAACCATAAAATCAAGGTTATTTGGCAAAATTCTAACTACAAAAACAGAGAACCCCAGTTCTATCTCAAGAGTAAAATGTAGTAAGAAGCACAACATACACATCTACATGTCTACTGACAAGACACAAAATTTCATATTTTCTCATTGCAATGTAAATTTTCTTTCTTTTTTTTTTTGTGTATGCGTCTTTTTATGGTTTTGGTTGGGGGGAGGGGGGCACAACCAGAATAAAAAAAACCAACAAGGCAATTTATCCTCTTCCTGAAAAATGTTTTCCTTCAGAGTTCTCTTTGTAAAGCTTTTTCTACTTTAAGTTTGTAGAATGAAAACAATATTTCCAAAACAAAACATCAAATTAACTGTTTAGCACTAGAAAAACATGTGTCCATGTCCCAAGCAAACAACCTATGCTAGAACCTGGATTAAATGACCAATATGAAAAAAAAAATCAAAAAGCCTGGGAGGAAAATTAACCTAATGAACCCCATCAATAAAGCAGAAAAGGTGAAACAAAACCTAATAAAGAAATAAGGCACACAATGCATCTGATATTTCTCCTCCAACAAGCAGGAAAATTATACAGCAAGCCCAAAAGCAAAGATTACCAAGCAAGGAGTCATGCCAGCATGAACATTATATACCTATACATAGATAAATAAACTTGTGTCACCAATTCATTGGATAATGAGTACTAATATTTGCAGATCTCCTGAAAAAGCAATTATTAAAGTCCAGATATATCATTTCAGAAGTAGGAAGTATTTCAGCATTGTTATGAAGGCAATAACCTAATGATACATAATTTCAATTTTCCTTGATCCATGAAATCATGTACCCTGGCTGCAATTTCTGTTGCTTTTGATGTAGCTTCTGAAAGTAAAAAGTCCATTTTAAGGAGGACATTATAAGATGGACATTGCAGGATGTACCTTTAAAACATTATAGTTGTTGGTGAATGTACGTTTAAATATTACTTTTGAATTAAAAAGTGCATTTATATATGAAAGTATATTTGGGATAATATCTATAAAAAATTAAAATTATATATACTTAACAGTATTACCCTTAACTAAGATTGTAACACTAAATTGATCTCAAGTGTATTGACGAATAATTCGAATGGTGTACATGAACACCGAGAATTTTGCTACATCATCCCATAAGTGGACATGCCAATAGATTAAATTTGAATTGATTTAAATTTGATGCGAGTTAAAACTTTCACTTGAATATAATTCATGCATTTGACAAATTTTATTTGCTCTATCCAACTCAGTTTCGTTCAAAATTGAAAATTCAATCTTGGTACTCATGAAACATGGTAAAAAATTTCAACATCATATATGACTAATTGGACTTTCGAATTGGATTAAATCTAAACAAAAATCGACTAGAGATGCAACCAAAAACACACAATTGGGATTGACTTGGTACATATTCACATCCATTAATCACATTGGGGATCATGAAGAATGAATTTCAGCCACAAGTACACAAAACTGAGACAGATTTTCAAAGCCACATTATTTTGCCCTCTCTCCCTCTCCTCTCTCTCTCTCTCTCTCACACACACACACACACACACAAAATCTAAGAGCGTCCTTAATCAAACACAGAAATCAGCTCTCTTCATCTCCCGTTCCCCCAAGTCCTGATGATTTAAAGCAAACCCAATTATCTCTCTCTTTTTCTCTCCCTACATGCATGTAATTATGCTTTATCTTCATACGTGGAGAATGTTTCTGCTAACAAAAAAAAAAAAAAAAGATGAAAATAAAGAAGAGAGAAGACTTCTTCTAGGCATCATCATCATCAGAATTTTCACTGGGTTCTTTCCTCAACACACACACACATAACATGAAGTCTTTTTGGTATGCTCCTTTGCTTCCATCCCAAAGATCCATAAAAGTTTTTTTGATGGATCCCTCTCACAGGTTCTCTGTACTAGATACACAACAATCTATTAGGTTTAGATAAAATGACAACCATGAAGAATAGAACACTTTTTGTTCGCCACGGATGGTAAATCATGTATGTTATAAGGTCAAAGTAGATATTGTCTTAATAAAGGAGGGTAATATTGGAAATTTGGAAATCACTTAACTCAATTAAATGTTCCCCACCCACTTTGCGAGAAGTGAAAAATGGGGGGTTTTGAGATGTTAGGAAACTCGCTTTTCAAAACGGACATTCCTGGGATGCACTTCTCACTGGAAAGCCAAAGTCTTGGGTTTACCAAACAGCTTAGAATTCTACAAAATGGACTTCTAGGTCCAAAAAGCCCATTTGGATTGTACGTCAAGTGCACCCTTCATATCCCAAAGTTACTTGCAATGTGACCCAATTATGAATAAGAAAAAAAACAAAGAGACAAATTCATCTCGAAGAATTATATTACAGAAGACAGATCCTGTACGCGTAACTTATTTGAACTAAATGACACATAACAAGCAACATCTTTGGAACAAAATAAAAGACCTCTAAAGAAAGGACATCTGAACTATGGTAGTGAAACAGCCCACCCCAGAAGTGTAAGAATTTACTAACCTGTCTATGACCAGACAAGGCTTGCAAAATAGTCAGCTAGAACTACCCGCAGGGTAGGCCCTAAATCGCCCATCAATATCTCTTTGGTTCTGTTTGCTTGAAGCAGCACCATAGCTTCCACCTGAACCCGAAGAAACTACATCTACACAGCCCCTATCAATCTGAGTAGGCATCATATCAGCTGTCACTTGTGCCTCCCCACCACCAATTTGACTAGGTTTTTCATTACCTCCCGCTCCCAAAATCCCACTATAACCATTGGCTATCATACCCACCCCACCATTCAAGTAGGCAGGATAAACAGTAGCAGCACTACCACAAGGCAAGAGACTTCCCCGAACACCAACCATTGCGGGACCATTCCATGGGCTTCTAGGTGCAACTGGAGCAATCCCGTAGCCAATACCACCGTATGCTCCAGTAGGGTAACCAGCCCCAAGGACTCCTGCTCCGTAATACCCTGTAACACCCCCGTACCCAAAAACAGGTCCATAACCGGGAAGCATCTCGTACCTAGGACTATAAGGTGCATAATTAACTTGCTGATAACTGTTGGAGTTAGAACCTCTTCCCGTACCCGCTCTCGCATTATAACCACTGCTATTGTTGTTATTTCCCTCTTTTGGGACAGCCCTCTTGACCTCCACAAGCTTGCCACTCAACTCATAATAGTTCTTCTGCATAACATCCTCAACAGCATCCTCAGAATCGAAAGTTATAAACCCAAAACCCCTTGGCCTGTGGGTAACGTTGTCATGCATCACAACTACATCTGTTATCCTACCGAACTTCTCAAAGTAACTCTTGAACTCTTCTTCAGTTAGATTAGCTGATAATCCCCCTACAAAAATCTTCTTAGTCCTAAATTGATCACTGCTCCTACCACTACTTCTACTGTTTCTAGTCAACCATCTACTCTGTTGTTGGTTTTGGTGTTGTTCACTTCTCGGTATGGCTTTTTTCACCTCTACCTATAAAAACATGACAGAATATACCAAATAATCTCAAATAACCCAGAATATAAAACATATACTAACGCAATTTTATTTTCTGCATTCTAAGAGTAACAAAAAGACATCAAATGCAAAAAGATGAAAAAGTAACAGTGAAAGTTGGTACAACCATGCATAGAAAATCTAAGCTAACAGGGAAAAAGTAATTTCCACCCAAAAAAACTACCTACAATAAAATTGCAGAACAAATTTAAAATACACCCGGGAAAAAAGGTAACAAGATACAAAAGTCATTCAAGCTAGATAAGAAAAAAAATACTTGGAGAGAGATTGAGGGGTTTCCCACCCACCCTGATCTACCCACATTTCCACACGGAAGGAAAAAATAAAGAAGGCAGAAATTAGAGGACAAAAAGCCTATTCAAACATATAAAACCCAGGCAGGCTTCAAGCATAAAACCAAATTATATATGTCTATCTGCATTCAGGAAGGAAAAGGAGGGTTTTGAACAGACCGTTCTACCAAGAATTTCATGGGTGTCTTCAAGTGCTTTATTCAAAGCATCTGAGTCCGAGAAGGAGACAAAAGCAAACCCTCTAGGGCTTCCCGAGTTTCGATCTTTGGCGACCACACAACCAATAACAGTCCCGTACTGACCGAAGTGTTCTCTTAGCGTGTCCTCAGTCGTATCCCAACAAATTCCTCCCACAAACAGCTTGCTATGGTCGGAATCATCCATGGCAACTAAGCAGAAACAAACCCTAAACTACACGGAGAGAGAGAGAGAGAGAGACACAGAGAGTGAGAAACCCTAGAAAGAAACCCTAGAAGCTGTCATAATTTGGGTGAAAAAAAATACTAGGGTAAGTTTTGAATGGAGGAGTCAAAATGGGCCTGGGTTAGTTATTATTATTGAACCAAATTAGTTGTACTTGCCAGTCCAGTCCTGTCCCGTCCCTGATCTTAGTCCAGTACCGAATAGCTACTTCCAGTAACGCCTAAAACAAAATAGGTCTGGTACTAATTTGTCAGTTTTCTCATAATTAAAGGTGTTAATCGTGTTAATTTGAGTTTAATAATTCGACTATTTACCCATAAATGAATCTAAAATAATGTTTAAACTTGACTTGTTTAACGGTTCTACTCATAATATGGTGTTTTTTTTTTTTGGGTCAAGATAACATGGTGGTGATTGGTGAGGAGTATGTTGGAACAAGAGGACCCAATTTCTAAATTACTCATTTTTTTATAAAAAAAAAATAGTAATATTATAGAATTTAATTTGAGAATATAATTTAACTGGTTATTTCTCGTGTTTAAAGACATAGAGCAATAAAAAATAATTAACATATTTGTATTCACACTCAAAATCAAATCACAAATATAGAGGAGAAATAAAAAAAATTTAAATATCGGTTGTAATGGGGGGTGAACGGTGATAGTGATGGTGGACGATCGCAATGGTGGTAATAGTCGTGAGTGGCAATGGTAAGGGTGGTGGTGGGTATTGAGTGATGATGATGGTAGTGGTAGTTGTGGGTGACAACGGTGGTGATTGTAGGCGTGGGTGGTGGTGGTTGTGGTGGGATGACGACAGTAGTGGTGGGCGATGATGGTGGTGGTGGTGGACAACGATGAGTGTTTCTAAACCACAATGTGATAAGTGGTGGCAAATGGCGATAGTGGTAATTGTGGTGGGGGGGTATGTGACAGTGGATGACTGTAGTGGTGGGCGATGACAGGTGGTTGTGATGGTAGATGTGGTGGGGTAGGTGACAGTGGCTGGTGGTGGTAGATGTGGTGGGGCAAGTGACAATGGTTAGTGGTGATAGTGGGTAACAATGTGTATTGACGGTGGGCGATAGTGGTAGTGGGATGATGATGGTAATGATAATAAATATAAGAATAAGATGACGATGATGGTGGGTGGTGGCTATGGACGACAATGATAACAATCGATGGTAGGTAGCGATGGAGCAGTGAAGGTGGAGATGGGGCAGTGGCAATAGTGGGGGTGACTGTGGTGGGTTGACGATGGTGGTGGTAGTTGTGATAGGGTAATAATGGGACAGTAGCGATAGTAATAAGGTGCGACAACAGTAGTAATTAGGGATAGTGGGGCTAGGGAGGTGGTAGTGGTAGTGATAATGGTGGGATGGTGATGGGTAGTGGTTATGGTGGTGGTGGGGGCAATGGGAAGTGGTGATGGTGGTGGTAGTAGTGATGGTGATGGAACGGTGGGGATGGTGGTGGTAGAGGTAATGGTGAGGCAATTTCAAACACTATTTTTTTTTTAAAGTACTTATAAGCAATGTAATCAAAACCGGACCGGTAAGAGAACTGAGTCAATGAGTTACTGATTCAATCGTTGGGTTAACTGGTCGGATCGGTTAAAAAATTAAAAAATATAATAATTTAGCTAAAAAATATTAAATATGTCCACAATGCATGTAATTTGCTCATAAAAATAAGTATTAAGTAGATTAAAAAAGAGATAGAACAAAATATTTTCAAGTTCAACAACTCTAAAGTCAAAAAATACAAGAAACAAAACAGGCAACACAACCTTTACATAACAAAAACTCAACACAAGTTCAGCAACTCCAAAACTAGCATAAGCAACCACTCAAACCACTCTTAGCAAGCCACAATAAAACAACACCCCTTATAACAAATCAACCTTTATCATTAAACAACAATTTATTCTGCTTAAAAATAAATTATTACAATACCCGAAACAATATATAGAGTGATCCAATTTAATTTGGGTCGGATGTCCTAACTAATTATAAATAGTTGAACAAATAGTTGTTCATATACCTTTATTTTTGGAGGCTCATGCGAATACGTATTTATTTATGTTTTCTCGTATGAATCTTGTATCACCACCAATTGCTCATCCCAATTTTGTACCAACTCAAGATATCCTTATTGGACTTGTATCTGAAAGTGTCAAACATTCTAGGCAATTTGAACTCTTGGAAAATTAGTTTGTTAAACTGACTTTTCTATTAGTGTTGAAACAAAATTAGATAAATATATATATATATATATATATATATATATATATATATATATATATATATATATATATATGTTTAATTTTTAGCTTCATTAGATTGTAGACGATTTTTTTTGTAACGTGATCACAAAAGCTCTACACTACATCGTTTGGTGTGTATCTTTAATATAGACCGTTAGATCACGATCAAACAGTCATTAGATAAAGATATTCAAACTTAATCATCACAATTTAACTCTTAACAAAATATGAAATGTCAATCACGTATAAGGAAATTGGTGAATTTGTATGAATTTGATGTCTATGGCTGTCCTTGGTGATATCTCTTATTGGACTGGGCCCCAGAGGCCCAGATGAGATGAAACTCATCTTGGCTTTGGGCTGCCACTAAAGTTCGAAGTTTCCAAGCTCAACGAGACTTTTTTTTCTTCAACAATGGTCATGGAATTTAACTTGATTCCTCTTGAAGACTAATTCCACTCTTTTAATTCACGACATGAACGATTTCTAGTTCACGTCACAAGTTTGAAGAAACGTATTTTTTTTTTATGATCAAACTTTTAGCATATCATGCCCAATTGTATAAGGAATGTATGACAAAATGTATAAGATTTATGTTATTATGGGCTTTGGGAAGGATCAAATAGACATAATTTTTTCACTTATGCAAACAAATTGTATAATGGCTTGGACTTGTCACATAGAATAAGAATGTGAGGAACTCATTACTCTTTTTTTTTTTTTTTTGTCATGCACTATTAGGTACAAAGTTTAAACACGCGACCTTAAGACCAGTGATAAAGACGATGATTATTAGATCAACCGTTACCTTCTATTACTTTAACATTTACATTGATTATATAATACCTAGAGAAAGATACATTTGATATATAAAATAATCTGTATCTTCTCCGGTGGGTAAGATCTGTTCATGGAGGAAGGAAAAACTGTCGCAGAGGCGGTGCAGGCTGACTCAATCCCGAGATCTTCTCACATGGCAGTGCTAAAGCAAGAAGTAATCCTCTTATTAATATAATCAACCAGCCTAATGCGTGCGAATATTCGATAATCGGGTCCAAAATTATTATATTTTCATTGGTTTGTGAACATAACAAAAAAAATTCCACATTAATCATTTAACTAATCTTTCATTTTAGATTGTTTAATTCGTTGCATGTGATATAAGAGATTTGAATAGTTCAAGTTGTTGGGTCTTCTTCACATTCTTTCCTTCTTTTTTTTGTTTTTCAATGGTCGAGATTATTCGAATCAACTTATATCCACCTCCATTAATCCCCTCCTCAGTCTGCTCAAAAATAAGTTATTCGCACCGAAACTAAGGTATTAAAGAGGAATAAATCATTCATGGCTTGACTCCAAAAAATTGTCAAAAATTAAATTTAAGACATTCGAATTTAGGATTTTTTCATGTTATCATTTAAACTACTATCAGACTTGCATTTTTTTGCTTTCAATTTAATTTTAAATGACGTTTTAGCTAGAATAACTGATAGCTATCGTTAACAGATGAATGATTGCAAATTCCGGGATTGAAGTAAGACCAAAAGCAAAAGCACAAAGAAAATAATAATTTGTGAGAAGCATGTTTAATTGGCTTGTCAACAAATGGAATTTGGATTGGATCTGAGTTCATCTGAATTCAAATCCGATTAAAAGATCTATTATAAAATCTGACTCATTTATCCAACGGGTTGAACAACATTATTCCATATTCGAATCCGCTTATAATTAGACATTTAGTTCGAGTACCCAATCTGATCCATAATGATATTTCATTAAAATTTCAACAAATAACTTTTTTTAAGATCATATACGAATAATCAATATACATATATATTATATTTGATCATATCATATTTATATCTGATTTAAAATATCTAAACATATTCAGATCGAATTGACATAAACTGATGAAAATATTGATTCGTATCCAATTAAACGAATCTGAATTGAATTCAGACTAAAATATGGTCCTTTCAGAGTACTACTCTTTTAAATCTTAGGAGTTAAAAATGTCATGGGTTTCCAATCTCATTTGCATGACCAAACTTTGTCTTCTCTTGGTTGTGAAAGCATCGTATATAAAGAATACTCAAAAGTTTCTTTTTTGATTTATCTCCAAGTTGCATTTTGTATTGGTTAGGGTGCCAAATATAAAGGGATTGTTTGGAGTGAGACTGTTGATGTCATGAGTGGAGCCCAGAACACGAATAATTAAATTGTAATTAACTTTGCATTACCCTTTGTTGGAATTTGATCCAAATGGTAGCCTACATCCCCAAGGGCTTAATTAATCCAGGTTAATCTTGAAAACATCGTCATATGCTTTGGTGGTCACGTGCCATGTGGCAAATTGCCACCTTGCACTTTGAAAGTTGTTATTTTTATCGAATGCAAAATCTAGATCACACATGCATTAATTCATTTTTATTCAACTAATCATACTTTTTTTTTTACTGCTTCAAAAAAAGGAGGGAAGGAAAGACGATTGTTCATAAAATATTTTGATAAACCTTCACTAGTGAGATTGTAAAATCAACTAATTACACTTGTTATTATAACCCTAATCCCTCAAAAGATGGACCAATGGTTTTGAATGGTCGAGGAGAGAGAGACCTACATTCGATTATCTTATATTTAAGTGAGTTTCATCCGATATATATATTTTTTTAGTGGATTGTCTATTATGTACTAAATACAAATGAATCTTTTATTAATAGTAGATAATTTGCTAATAAAAAATATATTAAAA